TAAATACGAGAGACGCCAATAAAATGTAGTTTTTTCTGTATTCTAGGCCTGATCATCTTATCTTATTTCAGATGGTCTCACTTCATAGACATCTGTTTCCCAGCTGTAGATGTTTTCGTAAACCTACCATAATCAATCAATCTGTGTTTGTCTTCGCTTCAGGCGATAGGCAATCCACCCCGGCAACAAAAACAACAACAGCAACAACAAAATAAATGTAATTCTTAATTTTCTGGTTTTATTTTTAGATATCAATATCAGTCCTTTGGTCTCTCAATATCCACCACCGCCAGCTGGCGCTGCACTGCCACAGGGCACTGGCTTCAGCACCGGCTCACAGGAGAAGACATAATTCTTGGCACAGGGCGGGGATGGAACGCTGGGCGCAGCATACGAAACTGGAGCTGGTTGCTGTTGCTGTGGCTTCTCTTCTGGTTCCTCTGCATTGTAGCTACGTCCGAAACCGCCACGGAAACCACCGCCAAAGCCACCGCTAAAGCCACCGCCAAAGCCGCCACCCCGTCCAAAGTCCCCACGTCCAAAGCCGCCACGGCCAAAGCCAGGTCCGCCCCCAAATGGAGGCCTGCCAAACGACGGTCCGCCAAACGGTGGGCCACCAAAGCCGCCTCTGCCCGGCAAACCAAAGTTGTTCTCCACATTCACTTCCTGCACAATTTGCTGTTGACGTGGCTGACGCAGCAGCTCCACACTCTCCCCCAGCTGTTCCGGCGTATACAAGCGTACGGGTATAAAGCGATACAGCTGCCCCGTGGGGCTGCGCACACAGCGCTCATCGCATTGCCCATCGGCCAGGGATAGCAGGCAAAGGTAGCTCGCTAGCAGCGGCGCAAACAGCGCCCAGTGGGTGGCAAACATTGCGATCTGATGGATACGGATGGAGGTAACTGAACACCTGAAGTACTATGAAGCTGTAAGCTGAGACTAGCCAGCAGTTGGCTGCAACCAGTTGGTTTTTATTAGTGCGAAAATTTGCAGCGTCAAGCGGAAATGGAGTTCGGGTCAAATAGCACAGAGTGCTTCAAGGTGATTTGGCTTGGCCAACTGGGTTACTTGGTCAACATGGGGCCAAGGCTAATAGCGAGTCAAGCGCTCTCTTTGTCTCTAGTAAAAACACGAACATTTCCTTTAAATACATTTCCTAAGCAACATATGTCACCAGACAAAAGTCGAGCACAAATCGGTCAAAACTTTGTTCAGTCTCTCGACTGAATCTTGCTGGCCAACATCTGTTAGCCATTTGTGTATATCTTATTACCAAACAAACTTTGCTTCAACTTGATCGATTTAGGTTGCCAACTTTGTCGCTTATTTTGCAATCAAAAATTCTTTTACTTTCTACACACACACACACACAGACAAAAAAGTCAAATCAAAACAAAATTGGCTCGGTTCAAAGACCTCAGCCATATGCAATAATAATTATTATATTTGCTATTATGGTAAAATTGTATGGCTAGAGTAAGGCAGCGAAAGTGCTTAACAAACATTTTTCTAAATATATTTACAATAATATATGTGTATACAATATTTAATATATTTTATAGATATGTATATGCTGATCAGAAGTTTTTTTGTTTTGTGCTTTTTGTAGGTGTTGCTCTTGATTTGGTAAAGTTTGCCAAGGCTTAGGAGCTCAAAGTTCAGTAGAAATTGCTCTGATAAAAAATCTACAAACTAAGTTAAAATTAATAAATAAATAAAAAAGTTGTAGTACAATCAAAATTTTGTAGTTTGTAAAAGAATTTCTTAAAAATGTATATTTATTAATGAGTTAAAAGAGAGTATAGAGTATATTGGTTTTATAAGCATTTATCAGCTATTGAAGCCAGAGATTTAATTTTTGGAATCAGCAAAAACAAGAAAATTATACGAATAAAAAAAAATAGTTTTTTTATAATTGGATATGAAAAAATGAATGTGTCTTAAATATAAAAGAATTTAATCTATCATAGATGAAGTCGATTAAAATTAGAGATATTAAAACTAAGATATTTTTACAGAGTTTCAAAATGATCAGAAATATACCTAAACATTTAATGATTTTATATTAAATAGCGGTTGGTTAGATGTGTAAGACTGAGATGTCTGACTGAGGCTAAACAACAAACAGTCTTGGCTTTCCGAGTTGATATTTTCAATATAATTATATTATATTATTTATTTATAATAGATCTCTTTAAGTATATTTTCATAAAAATGTAGGTACAAATCAAATAAAACAGAGACACATACCAATAACTGAAATATTTAATACTTGCTCGGAAACAGAAAAACACTTGCATTTGTAATAATTAAAAATAAAATCAAATTAGGCTTTACTTCCATATGGAAGCGTGCATTATATTTCACTTTAAACAGAAATTGTTTTTGCACCTGGGGAAAAGCCAAAATAGATTTTTTCGCTGTTTAATTTAAATGGAAAAAAATGCTTTGTATTGATATTTATATCCAGGTATCGGATAACAATTTGAAACAAACATTTCAATAGAACAGTTGTGATAGCAGCAATGCTGAGGAGCTATAGAGTTTCCAAATACTTGAGTAAAACATTTGTTTTATATAGAAAATTTGTTTTTATGCATTAATCTTTATTGTTCTTTTTTTTAGTATTTTATTTAAGCATGGCATGGATTTTGGTTTATCGGCAGATTCAAGTCTTCTGATTCTTCTCGTGATCTTCTAGTAGCCGTAGCCGTAAGCCTGGGGCAAGTAGGCAGCGCCGTAGAGGTTCTGCTGATGCTGAGGCACGCCGTAGGTGGGGGCAAGGTAGCTGGCCACGGGCGAGGAGTAGGCGCCGGCTGAGCCGTAGCCCTGAGATGGAGCGCTGCATGGCACTGGCGCCAGGTTGGGCTGGCAGCTGAACAGATAGTTCTTGGGGCAGGGAGGAGCTGGCACACTGGCTGCGCCGCCGGAGCTGCCACCGCCGTAAGCAGACTTGCGTAGACGGGTCAGGTCACCATAGCCCTGGTTATCAGACTCGGATTCCTGGTTGCTTATAGAGCCGGAGGGATTGGCCAAAGCGGAGCCAACAATGGCGATGAGGGCGAAGCACACGAAGAATTTCATCTTGAAGTTGTTGATTTTGCTGTTACCAAAGGTGACTGATGCCAGTTGTAACCCCACACTCGGCTTATATAGCTTAACTTTGTCAACTTGGCATAAACTCGACAGCCAAGTGACTTTGACTAGTCTTTTACTTTTGTCTTTCGCTTAATCAGCTATCGCTGATCACTCCATAAAGTGCACTAAATACTAGTAGTGCGGCAAAGCCAACCACATTTGCCGACAATTGCATTTCGCTGCATTGGATTAACCCATCATTATTGTGGGTTAATATATATATTATATACATAAATATATCACAAGAATCTTACTTAATTCTAGAACTGTACTAGAACTATATTCTTTACTTTTAATACCCTTACATATATCTTTTGGATACTCTAAATCACATATTTTGTTTTATGCCCACTCACACTTATATTGATTTCATGTCACGTTTACTTCCTGCTCGTCCGTCTATCTGTCTGAAAGCAAAGCGTTTCAATACTATGCAAACTAAATGTTTAATTTATTTTATATATAATCATTACCCAATT